CCTCCCCATGGCTCTACCACTTTCTCCTGTCTGGATCCTGAGGCCAGACTTTCCCTGGTCTCAGCCTTCCAACGCACCTCTCACCTGGAGGCCAGAGAGAACACCGCGAGCCCGCAGCCCGTCACTGCTTTGAGCACCTCCATTGCTCCCCACTTTCCTGGGAGAAGCCCCAAATCATGCCCCAGCGGACCTCACGGATGGCGCTGGGGGAACAGGAAGCAAAGCCCACCTGCAGCTTCACAGACTCAGGCAGCTTCATCTGGAGCAGGCCCTCCTCCAAGCCTTCTTCCTTTTCCCCTTCAGCTGTTTCCTCTTCTTTTCCCTCATCTTCCTTCTCCTGAGCCTCTTCTTCCTCATCCTCCTCCTTCTCCTCCTCATCCTCTTCTTCCTCCTCCTCCTCCTCTTCTTCCTCCTCCTCTTCTTCTTCAGTGAATACCTCAGGCTCAATCATCTTCAGTATCTGCTTCACGTCCTCATCGCCAAAGACGCCCATCACCTACACGGCACACAGAAAGCCTGGGTCCTTCACTGAAGGCCTCCACAATCATGGCCCAGTCTCAGCCCCAAGAGCTGCTTCTCCTGAAGCTGTCAGATTCACCCCTGCATTACTGGATAGGATTCCCCACAGCGGGCATGGCTCCCCCAGATATACACCTGGTAGCCCAGGCATGCGAGCCCGACCACACAGTCAAACACGAGCTCCTCTCTTTCCACTCGCAAATGTTTTCCCCCACATCCGCGCATATGTGACGCTCAGACAGGACACACACGTACACCAGTGGAGACCCTCCTGCCTCCCGGCGGAGCCAGTGCCCAGCCAACAGCATGAAGGTGCGCACAGATGGAAGGAGCACGGGGAGAGGAAGGGAAGAATAGTTGGGAAGGAGATGAATGGTGGGGGAGGACTGGGGGACACACAGACAGATGGGGGAGCAGAGGTCTGAAGGGGAGGCGGAGGGTAAAGGTGAAAGCGGAGGAGAGGATCGGTAGAGGGTCGGAGAGGATCAGTGAAGTATCTAGATACACAATAGAGGAGCGAAGGCCTGACAGATGCGCGAGCTAGTAAACAGGTGAGGAGGAAAATGGGAAACAGCCGTGGTGCAGAGAGGAGCTGGTGGCTGCACGGAGGATGGACAGGCTTGCTTGTAAGAAGTTAGGTGACAGACTACATGGGTGTCATTAGATGAGCATGGAGGTGACAGGTACATGAAATAAAGGCTGGCGACTGCATGGACAGTGGTTGGCTGAAGGGGCACCGACGGCTGGAGTTCGTGAGCAGGTGAATGGGTGCGGGTGGACAGAGACACAGGGGTGCATGGACAGGCAGGTAAAAGACCTCAGAACGACGGGTCTGTGCATGGGCCGCCGTAGGTAGGCATGAACCCAGAGGATGAGGTCTAGGTGTAGGAAAGGGAAGCTGATTAATAAATAAGGGGTGGATGGTGATGGCACATGGGTGATTTGGTGATGGGGAGCCCAAAGGGATTGCAACTGAAATGGAAAAATGCACAAAATCATGTAAAAATAAACTATTATAAATAAATAAATAAATAAGGGGTGGCCCTCCCTGGTGGTTAAGAGCAGCACTGGGAAGCTGGCCCAGGCCGCTTTGGTGCAAGTTCGATCCCGCCTGGAGGTGGCCCACATGGCGCGGCGCGGCAGACCTCTCGTGACCCTCAGCAGTGTACTTTGTCAATCTGCCTGTTCTCCCCACTCTGTCTCTGGTGAAGCCTCTCACCGCCCTGCACCTCTGGCCTGTACCTCAGTTCTGTATGCACAAATAAATAAATCTTTAAAATAAATGAATAAGTGGGTGGGTGGGTCGATGCACAGATGGAATTGTGGGTGGACCGACGTCTGCGTGCAAGCCAGGTTGGACAAGTGGAGTAGAAGTCGGATAAATGGGTGCATGGATGGATGGATGGGAACTGGGTGGAGAGTGGAAGGGCATATAAACGGATGGACTGAAGAAGAGAAGACCGGGTATGCTGAGAACAGGAAGAGGGGTGGGCGCTGGCTGGCTGATTGGAAAAAGAGATTAATAAACAAATAGATGACACGATGGAGGGAAGGAAAAGTGAATGAAGGGTGAGTAGACGATAGATAAACTGAAAGGTGGGCGATGCGCGCATGGAGGGACCCGGCAGCTGACCGCACGCAGGGCGGGGTGTGGTGTCTTTATAGATGGGGCATGTGGAGGGAGGGAGGCAGGAGGACGCCATTACCAGCAGTGTGGACACAAGCTTGAGCACCGGCACAAACTGGAACTCCACCGAGCCGCCCACCGGGTCGCGCGCGTGCTGCCCGCCGTCGCGCACTGCCTCCCCCAGCATCCTCAGCGCTTTGTCCCTGAGGGCCTCCAGAGGGATGCTGGGGCTGAGGCGGGTGGGGGCTTCCGCCACCCCAGCAGCTGGCAGGGCAGCTACGAAACAGGGGGGTGAGAAGTGGTGTGGAGGCCGCAGAGAGGTGGTGACGCCAACGCCGGGCAGGCCGTGGCGGCGGGGACCGTCATCCTCGGTCTTTCCAGGGGGGAAGAGCGTGATGGCGCGGGTCTCGGCCGTGAGGGGCACGATGTACTCGGAGAGCATGGAGCGGCGGCTGCGGCAGGCGCTTTCGAGGTGGATGCTGATGAGGAGGTCGTAGTAGCCGGCACGCAGCGGGCCGGGCAGGTGCGCGTCCTCCAGCGCGTGCAGCAGCTGGGCCTGGTCCACGTGGCTGCACAGCGCATGCGCCACGCGGTTATTGCCCAGGGCGCACACGGCGCGGTACAGGCGGAGCGTGTGGGAGTGGAAGCGCTGCAGGTCCAGACGCTCAGACAGCTCCAGGATGTCCATGCTCCTGCGGCAGAGACGGCGGCAGACAGGCGGGAGCGGTGGGGGCGGTGGGCGACAGCGCACAGACCACAGAGACAGACAGATGCTCAAGTGAGTGTGGCGACTCCAGCCCAGAAGCCCAGGGGTGGGCTGGGTCAGGGTTCTGCGGGCTGGATCTAGGTGGCTTTTCATGGCTGTGTAAGAGCCCAGGTGTCCTAGGGGGCACTGGGGGTACTGGGACTTGAGATGTATGGTCTAGGGCTTTGGGGTATCTGAAAATCCAAGTAGAGGATTTGGTGACCATGAGACATAGCTGGGATCCCCGATTTTGGATCTCCACCCCCTCTGGTGGGATTGAGTAGCCTGGTTATGTCTGGGCATCACTAGAAGGTAAATTCCATCAGCACAGAACTGATTTTTGTGTTCTGGGCTTTTACTAGCTGTTTTGCTATCTCCCAGCACCTAGATAGGACTTAGCGCATAGTAGTGCTCAAGAAATACTTGTTCAGTGGCTAAAGGGTGTGTCCAGGGTCCCTGGGGGTGGATCTGAGCTCCCTGAATTACAGGTTAGCTTTACAAGAATGTCAGTTCTCAAGGCTCAGAGGCACAGGCCTAGAAGGCAGCTGGTGATTAACAGCTCAGAGCTATTTGCCAAATGAGTGACTAGAGGTGAGACAAGGCAAGTGGAAAGGCCCCTGAATAGTCCGGGAGCCCTGGCCGTGTCCAGAGTCCTTCGAGCCATCCCGCCATCCCCGTGAACACCCTTGGGTTTCCTTAAGTGGGTCTGAGATCTCACGTCTGTAGCTGCCGGGGTCTGTGGGCAAGACTGTGGGGGTGTATCCAGGCCTCTCTGAGGTGTTCTTGAGGCCCCTGAATTGTGTGGGCTCCTTGATGTGGTCTGGCTCCTGAGACTAGAGCCATGTGGGATGGGTCTGGGGTCCCTGGTGGGGGTCTGTGAGCCCTTTGGGTGAGTCTGTGGTCCACTCAGTTAGGTATGGGTCTCCTGGGGTTGTTGGGGTACTGAGTTGGATTCAGACCCCAGAAAGTCTGTGGTCCCTGCCCCACCTTTACGGTCGGGCTGGCCCTGACCTGTTCTCCTCTGGGATGTGTAGCGCCATCATGGTCAGCGGCTCCTGGCACTGCACGGCCCAGCCCAGCCGCTCACCAGCTCGATGCGTCTCCACCTGCAGGAAGTGGTTGGGCATGCGGCTCCACGAGACGGGCATCAGCATCTGCATCTCGAGGCGCGGCGGGCACTGCGGGGCCGGGTTCCTGCGCTCACTCAGAAACATGGCAGCAGACAGCGGCATGATGTTCTGGGGGTGCAGACGTATGCACGGGTCAGGATTCCCAGGCCTCTCCGTCGGTCACCCTCTTCCAGGGAGCCCTCCCAAACTGTTCCCTCCCTTACACTGCTCTGCCAACTGCCCCACACTCCTGTGCCCGTTAGTGCCCCGTCACTGCACTCTGACCTTCTGCTTCCCCAACTCAAACTGGATGACGTTCTGGTGGGTCGGCAAGACAAAGACAGCGGGAAACAGCTTGGTATTGGGTTCCACCTGGCAAGGGAGGAGAGGGCAGAGTGAGGAAGAGGGTGAACGAGGTGCGTTGACGCTGGATCCTAAACTCTTGGGCCCTGACTGCCCCACCCGATCCTGCTGGGATCTACAGATCCAAACTTGGACACTAGACACTCCACATGGCCTTGAGGTCACCCAAGGCCGTCACCACCTCTGATCCCGTCAGACCAACCTCCCCAGAGCAGGCTGGGTCTTTGCACATACCATGCCCCCTCCCCCGCCCAGAATGCCATTCCCACTATGCCAAGCATACTCATTCTTCAAAGTTCCAGAAAGCGCCCTCTGACTGCTCCTTGCTCCAGCTCCTCCAGTCTGAGCAGTGGGGCCCTCCCAGCCCCAACATCACCATCCTGCCAAACCTGGACCTAATTGTTCCTCTGGCATCCTCCCCATTTACAGGAAATACAGGAGACAGAGGAAATCGCTAAAATGGCAGTGCAGGGATGTGAGATGGATCCAGACTGGGACAGTGCCCATGAAGCTCCTGAGCCTTGTTAAAATGTGGGTTCCAGCTCTCCCTGGTGGCACAGCGGGTTAAAGCACAGCACTAAGAAGAACTCATGCCACTTCCACATGAGTTCGAATCCTGCCCGGGAGGAGACCACATGGCGTGGCAGACCTCTCCTGACCTGCCCGCTGCTCCCCTCAGCAGTGTACTTCGTTGATCTGCCTGTTCTGCTCCCCACTCTGTCTCTGGTGAAGCCTCTCACCGCCCCTGAGCCTCTGGCCTGTACCCCAGTTCTGTATGCACAAATAAATAAATCTTTAAAAAAAAAAATGTGGGTTCGGGCGGGAGCATCTGCGAGGTCTGGGTCTCTGCATTCCCAGCCAGCTCCCAGGCACTGCACATCCCATTGGTTCAGGGGCCACCCTTGGAGAAGCAAAGCACTCTGGGATAGCAGCCACTTTTTTTCAACAAATATGGAGAGGGGGAAGGGAGGAAGAGGGAGGGGAGAATCTGCCTGAGATACTCAAAAGACTTAGTAGCCAACTAAGATAGGACCTTACTTAGATTCAGATTAAAACAGATGGTAAAAAGACATTTTTGCAGTAATCAAAGAAATATGAAAATGGTCTAGATCTTTGATGCTATTTAGGAATTATCAAGAGTTTTTTTTTTTTTTTAAAGCTAGTGGTATCATAGTTACAGTTTTTAAAAGATGAATCCTATGACACCTGGGATCACCTTCAAAATGCCCAGGGCGGGAGGGGCCACGCACAGCTGGCTTGGAGCAGGAAATGGCTGACGCTGCATCACAGTATGGACAGCTTCATCACGCTGTGCTAGTCTTGCATATATTTTGTATATCCTCCATTTAAATAAATGCTAGGCTCTCCCAGGTGGTGCAGCAGGTTAAAGCATGGGACTATGAAGCTGTTCACAGCCACTGCAGCACGAGCTCAATCCCCAGCCAGGGAGCTGACCCACAGGGCGCAGCAGACCTCTCCTGTCTCCCTGCTGCTCCCTCCCGGCATGTCCCCTGGGACATGAGGACACTGTTGCTACAGGGCAGAGGTCTGCGCGCACCTGGAAGAAGGTGTTGCTCTCTTTGCCGTTGGCCGTGAAGTTCATCAGGCCAGTGGCCAGGTCCACCAGGCAGCCGATGACCAGGTCCGTGTGGCTGATCCGGCCCTGCTGCCCGGGGCTCACGAAGTCCCCGCCCCACACCATGTAGCAGTTGCTGCACTTGAGGCTGAGGAGACAGGAGGATATGTAGAATATGTTAAGTTTATGTGGGTGAACCCAAAGGTCAGGGTCCCTAGCATGTCTGGGCTCATCTCCTGGATTTGGGGATTCCTAAGAGTTACAGCAGTGTGACCGAGAGCTTCATAATCCCCATGCAACCTTCAGGCTCAGTGGGCTCTGGATACCCCCTTGCCCAAACACCCCCAGCCTGCAGCCTGGCAGGGACACCTCTCATCCCAGGCCCTGCACCCCTCAGAGGGTATTTTTAGAAGCTGAAGAGGGGTTCTGGAAGGAAAGAACAAAGAAAGGCAATGTAGAAAGAGGGTGGTGACGTGGAAAAAAGGGAAAGGCATGGAAAAGTGAGAGGGAAATCAATCACTACAGGAAAATACACAGGCAGACAGATGGAAAAGGTGAGAAAGGGCAGGTCTGAGCCAGGCGTCCAGCGCTGGCCTCCACAGCCCCTTCTCCACACCTGCTGTGGACGTTGCCTTGTTCATCCCCCATGGTCACGGTCACTGCCCGAACTTTGCTGAGGTCGAAGTTCATGTCATGTTGATGGTAGTCAGGGGTGACCCAGCCCACCCACACGCAGCTGGGCTCCTGGCCAGCGAAGATCCTCACGGAGTAATAGTACTGAGGAGGCAAAGGGGGCTGGATCAGTCAGGAAGACGGGTCCAGGGGCTCCCTGGGACTCAGGGTTGGCTCCTCTATGGATTTGGGACCCCCTTCAACTTATATCGTTCTGTTTCTGTGGCTACTGATGTATTTCTAGGTTGAGAAATCATTTGGGGCTATCTGGGATACCCCCAAATTTGGAGACTTCCCTGGTCATAGTCATATTTAAGAGCTAATAAATCACTCACAAGTGAACTAACTTGATTCTTCCAATCCCCACCACATGGGTATACTTTTGACCCGTTTTACTGAAGAGGAAGCCACAGAAGAGAAGGCATAGGTGGCGAGGCGACTCACCCACGCGGCACCCCTGGCTGTCCTGGTCCTACCAGGTGATCTGCCTCAGAAAGTCTCCAGTCTTGGGAAATCCCAGAACTGTGACTTATAGCTACAATAGCAATTAAATTTGGCTCCTAGCATATCTATCACGTTTATGTGAGTGACCCAAATATCAAGGCTCCTAGCCTGTCTGGGCTCATCTGGATTTGGGGATTTCTAGGAGTTAGAGCAGTGTGACTTACAGCTTCACGGTCCCCTGCAACCTTTATGCTCCAGTTATATGGACTCGGGGGGTGGGTCAGAATTAAATCAGTGTGTGTTGTATTTGGGGGTCTCCAGTATATATGGTGTATCCCCAAGTATGGGAAGTTGGAAATCTGGGGGTCCCCTGAAGTGGGAAGTCCCCGGGTCTCACCGTGGTAGTGCTGAGGATGATCTCAGGGTCGTCTCGGTCATCGGTCGGCACCACCTCCCGAGGGAGTCGGGGCAGAGCAGGGGTGGTTGGTGGCTGGGTCATCATGGCGACCTTCTTGGCCTTGAACAAGAATCTGGGGGTGGGGGAGAGGCTGCCATGAGAACAGCTCCTGAGCTCAGCCCCCAGGCCCCCCAGTACAACATTCACCCTAGGCTGAATCCTGTCTAGTATCCCCTGCCTGGCCACCAGAGGGACAGGACTCCCCAAGGTGCCAGCCTAATCCATGCAGAGGTTCTGCGCGCTGTGCTGGTGGGAGTCGGGTCCCTGGGGAACACGGAGATCTCCTTAGGGTACACTGGCTCCCTAAAATCAGCGTTTCTCGTTTGGGGGCTATAGCCCTCTGAGCAAGGAGAGCTCTTCATTCTGGGGGACTGTCTTGTCTCTGGAGCCCTCCAGCAGCTGTACCCCCTCAAAAAACTGAAATAACTAAAATTTTCTATCACCTCCAAATACCTGCCAAGAGGCATGGTGGTGACGTCCCACTGAGAAATGGCCCTAACGGGGAAAGCAGATCTCGTTTCAACACCCTTGAAGGATGTCCCCTCAAGTCAATGCTTGGGGTTACCTCTGAGACACAGAAATGACTCCTACTTAGACCAAATGTATTCACAGTGGTACAGTACCACTTGGGGTACTTTCAACTGAGTCCTCTTTGGTGTCCATGGGTAATGAAATCCACTGGATGAACTGCTTTGGAATATCCTGAGAAAGTGGGGTTCACCGCAGATACAGTGGGGAACCCCAATTTTACATTTCCAGGGAAAACAGAAAATCAGATCACCCAGGGAAATGGTGGGGTTCAGCTATGACAGGATCCCTCAGTATTCTGATTAACATCTATGGGGCCACCTCAGGATACAGTGGGGTTTCCCAAGTTACAGAGGTGGCCCGACTGGGGGCCCCGGGAAGGTCCCTCGACTCACCCTCTCTTCTTGTTCTTCTCTGTGGTAGCATCCTTCTCATTTTCCGCCCTGGCAGACTGGGCCTCCACTCCGGCCTGGGCGTTACTCCCGGGCGCCCCCTCCTTGGCAGCTCCCTCTTTGCCCCCCTCAGCCTCGCCCCAGCGCCCAGCTGAACGACACAGGTTTTCATAGTCGGAGTCAGGTTCTGCTGCTCGGGCCTCATCCTCAGCGGGGGGCTGCAGGCCAGGGGGTGCCAGAGGGGTGGCCCCTGCCGTGCAGCGGAAGTGCTGGTGGAACTGGACTGGCAGACTGAGCCGGAGAAAAAGCATCTCCACTAGGCTGTTCTGGGAGCCCCAGGTGCGGTGGGTCAGGCGCAGGCAGGGGGGCGTGTCCACGGTGCCGTCCATGCGGGCCACCTGCGGGGCGGGGGCAGGGAGCCCTGAGCCGGCAAGCTGGCGAGGCCTTTGGCTGCAGACGTGGTCTTGCGCTGAGCCACACGAGGCCCCAGAGCACTTGTGTGGGAAGACACTGCTCTGAGCAGGTGGCTCTGCACGGCGCGCTCGGCATGGCCAGCCCTCTGGCAGCCCGTATCCAGTGGGAGCCCTGGTCGGACCCTGGGATTATTTAGGGAGCTTTCAGACCTATCTCTGCAAAGGTCTCACCCAAAACCAAGTCACCCACCCACCTATGCACCCACCCACCCATCAATTCATCCACCCATCCATCTTGCCATCCATCTGTCTAGCCACCCATGCGTCCATCCATCCATCCACTTACCCATTCACCTATCCATCTGTCCATCCACCCACCTACCCATGCATCCACCCACCCTCCCCCACACATCCACCTACCCCCACACACATCCAAACCCCCCCACACCCATCCATTCCACAAAGGTTTACTGAGCACCTATTCTGTGCCCTGGTGCTGGGGCCACATGAGTGAACAAATCTCCAGACCTCCCGTCTCTCAGAGAGACCTCTCTGGGCATGCAGCCCAGAGGGTCAGAGATGTGTAAAGGCTCCCAGATGTATTTCTGCTAAACCTGTATTCACACCAAAAATACACAGCACTGTGCATTTCAGAGGGAACATGCCCAGAACCCAGAGAAGCAGAACTCCACTGCGCCTCGGAGAAAGCACCCGGGTGCCCATTTCGTCACTATTGGCTCGAAGACGCTGAGGGCTTCTGATGAGAATGCACAGACTGGCAGAGGAGGGAACGGGCTGGTGGAGGGAAAATGCCAGGCCTGTGTGCCCCAAGGCGGTCACTCATGCTTTCTGGAAGCGCCAGGGATAACTGGGGTAGTGCCCTTTCTTTGATGCTCCCCCTCAAGCTGACCTCCTCAAGGACAAACTGCCTCTTACCAGCCAGACTTGCCCCCGAAACTGTGCCATCAAGCTCTGCTGTTTCCGGGGTCCTGTTCTCCTCCTCTCTTGGTCTGTTGGCAACAGTCTACTCACCACCTCGCTCCTGTGATCTGTGTGCTGGTAGCTAAATGTCTGGAGTTTTTCTTTCAGAGTGCACCCCAGATTAGCCCTGCCTGTTCTAGAACTTTCTATGTGCGGGATCTCGTCTTCTCTTTTGTGCCTGGCTTCTTTCACTAACGAGATGTCTGAGACCCACCCGGGGCGTGTGCGTTGGGGCATTCACTTTCACTGCTGTCCAGTGCTCTGTTCTTTGAGTCGAGGGCACCAGAGGCTGGCAGGAGCAGGGGCGGGCAGCTTCACACTACTCCACCAACTTCTCCTGCCTCCACCACCTCTCTGGGCTTTCTGCCTCCTCCCTCGCCTTTGACAACCACTGTTAGGAGGGACCTTTCCAAAACTCGCAACAGGACATTCACTGCTTAAAACCCTTCCACTCATATCCAGCCTTAAAATGCCTCTTCACAAATTACTAAGTACTAATCACAGTGGAGAAGTCTGGCCGTCCCCACCTTAACCAGTCAAAGCAAATGCAATGAGTAATGAGACAAAAGCCACACTGCGTGCCCCCCGAAACCCCACACCAAGCAGGACAAAACAACATGTCTGTGGTACTCCCGCCAGCATGTAACCGGGCCTGATCATGAGGAGACAGCAGGCAGACCTCTGCTGAAAGGGCATTCCTCAAAGTAACTGGCCTGCACTCTTCAAAAATGCCCAAAATGTCCCAAAACACAAAAGACAAGAAAGACTCGGGAATATCCTACATTACAGACTAAAGACCCCTGGCGGCCTAGGAGTGAGGCCTCTTGCTGTCGGCAGCTGAGCTCGATCCCCCGCCAGGGAGTGACCCGCAGGGCGCGGCAGACCTCTCCCCTCTCCCCACTGCTCCCCTCAGCAGTGGATTTCAGTTGATCAATCTGCTCTCTGCTCTGTCTCTGGTGAGTCCTCTTATCTGCTCAGGAATTGTGGGAAGCCTGAGGCAGGGAGGCACGTGAGAAGGTTCTGACGGGGCTGAGTCCTCACCTCATAGTGGGGGTGTTCGAGAGGCACAGCATCGAACTGGGGAAGGCTTTTGCTGAACCATGTGGTGACTGGGCGCTGCATGTTGATGGCGAATGGCTCAAAGCCTTCCTGGAGGCCGCAGATGGCAAAGAATCGCAGGGAGCTTACGTCCTGGCCTAAGTTCAGGTGACCCACCTGGCCAGGTCCCAAGCTGCAGACGGGCAGGAAGCCTGGTGGGAGGGGACAGATGAGCAAGGGTGAGGATAGGTGGGCCAGGCAGGGCCGCCAAGGGGAGGTGGCACTGTGGGAGGCTGAAGTGGGCAGCGTGGGGTCAGGTGAGCGAGAGGGAAACCAGAGAGGGGAGATGAACGCTGGGGCCGCGGGGCCAGCCCTCACCGTCTCCAATCTCAATATCCCGGAAGGCTGTTTCAGAGCCCGAGTCGGACATAAGGATCTCGCCATTGAGGGTGAAGATGATGTTGTTCTCCGAGAGGTCGATCATGCAGCCCACAACATCACCAGGCTGCCAGGGACGCCCAAATGGCTCGCTGCCCAAGTGCCAGCGCTGGCCCTGTGAAGAGGCATGGGGAAGACTCGGGTGGGAAAGGCGTGCAGGCCACGAAGACAAGGAAGCAGGGAGACGTGTGGAGTGAACACGCAAAGGCGTCAGTGGGGCCATGGTCATCCCCACCATGTCCCCCAAAGCTTCCCTACATGTGGCCCTTTGATCCTTGGGGTGGAAGGACAGGCTTTCATGCTTTCCCCTCCCACCACTCTGCATTCCACCCTTCCGCCTGGCTTCCCTATTCCCTACAGCTGAGGAGAGCAGTCCACCACATGGTGGGGGGGTCAGCAGCAAGAAGAGGGATGGAAAGGGGGAGTGACGGCTGGCAGCCCCGTACAGACCCACGGGCACCCACGCACCCCTAGCACAGAGGAGTGGGGAGTGTGACGGATGGCGGGGTGGGTGGGTGACTGGAGGGAATGTGACGGCAAAGTCAAGCGTCTGCATGAATTGATGTGGGGAAGGAAGAAAGTCTAGACAGACAGACAGACCAGTGGCTGGCTGGGTGGGTGGATAAATCGATGAACGGATGGATGAAATTAAATTATTTATGCATTAAATTACTGCATAAATAGATGGGTAAAAAAAATCACACATAGGTGAATGATTATGCCAAAAACACCAGATAAGTAAATGGATGGCAGTGTGGACAGTCCAGTGGCTGTCTGTCTGTCCAGAGGAGTTGAGAGATGGGGGGTGGGTTTCTAGGTGGATGATGGACGGATACATGCGTGGGTGGGTGGAAGGAAGGACGGATGGGTAGACGGCTGGCCGGCCGCGTGGACACAGACCTCTGGATGACCGAGGGGCGGCAGGGCAGAGGCAGAGGTGGGCAGGCAGAGCGAGGCACAGACTGGCAGGGCCGGAGGGCACGAGCTCTCGCGGGAAGCACGGCCAGGCGGGTACATACGCGGTGCCCGTTGAAGACATAGGCCAACTCATCAGCCCCCAGCTCCACGTCAGGGCGCAGCTCGGGCCTCGCCCAGCCCACGCGCATCTCGCCGGTGGTGACCGCCTCGAACTCGAAGTACCAGCGACCGCCCTGCACCGCGTAGGATTTCTCTGCCCGGAAGATGCGCACACGGTCCCACCGAGACTGGCTCTCCACCTGACCTACAAGCAGGCCCGCAGAGTCAGCAGCCCGACCTCGAGAGGCTGGTGGAGAAACCAGTGACGATCGGGGCGTGGGGCAGAGGGGTGGTTTTTCTGGCGTTAGGGGAGGAGAACTGAGGGCGCCCAGAGGAGTCCCTCCCGGTCAGAGGAGGGAGAGACTGCCGCTGCCTAGCAGACAGCGCTCTCGGCGGAGAGCCTGACAGGCAGAGGGCCTGGGCCCTGGCGCCGTCTGCGATTAGACTCAAGATTAAGGCTGACGTCTAGAATCAGAGACGGAGGGCAGGATCTGAGAGGGGTCAGGCTCTGGGAGGGACTAGAAACTGGGCTTGGAGCCGGGAGTAAGGAAAGGAAGGCTGGGGACATCTGGGGTGGGGTTGGAGGCTCCCCGAGTCCCTGGTTGGCTGGCACCATATTGTAGCTGTGCACCAAAGGTCAGGGGGTAGGAGTCAGAGCTGGGGGTCCGGATGGGAGGCCAGAGTTAGGGTTCATGCTCACGGGGCTCCAGGTCAGGCAGCTCAGCGTCGCAGCTCTAGTCTAGGCAGGGGGCAAGTCAGGTCAAGGCCCGGGGTCAGGACTGGGTTAGGGTTAGGGTCAGGCTGGAAGGGTGGGGTCCGTGTGGGCCTGGGGGGGCCAACTGAGTCAGAGAGCGGGGGTAGGGCAGGGCAGGGCCGGGGGCAGCGCTCACTGGGCTCCTGGTCTGGGGGCTCGATGTTGTAGCCGTAGCCCAGCAGGGTGCGCACGGCCTGGCAGAGGCTGTCGCGGTTGCTGCGCTTGGTCGCCTCGTCCAGCAGGCGGTAGGGCACGAGCCGAGGGTTCCGGCGCGCGATGATGTCCTGCACGGCGCTGTAGCTCCAGCCCTGGGCCACGCGGTCTCGTGCCCACACGTTGTGCCCGTTCTCCGCCAGCCGGTCCACCAGCGTGGTCTGCGCCGGCGTCAGCCGCACGTGGCTCAGGTCCAGCGGTGCCGGCTTGTACCCGTTGCTCATCATGTACCTGTGGAGGCGGGGCAGGGTGAGGTCCGCACCGCCACCCCACGGCTCTGTGTGGGGCTCCTGGCTTCTGACCTGTCCTCGTGCTCCTTAACCCCAAGCTTTGGAATTTCTGGCCTTTGATCTCTGACAGGAGGGTTCTGTGATTCTGACCTCTGACCCCCAAATCCCAGTGGCCCTGGCGAGGGCTTTGGCTCCACGGACCTCTGTGACTCCATTATGATTGGGGGAGTCTCATTTCTGACTCGTGGACTCTTTGACTTTTCACCTTCAACTGCGAGGTTTCGTACCTCTGATTCCAGGAAGCTGACACCCCCAGTCTTCCGAGTCCTTGACCTCTGAGCCCTGGCCTCTATTTCCCAGACCCATGATCACACCTATAGTATTAGTATCTCTTACTCGTAATTCCCACAGCTGCGCCTCTGACCCCTTGCCTCTAATTAGAAAGTTTCTCTGTCCTCTCATGTCTGATGCCCTGGCAGACCCTGACCCTGGGGCCTGGCTCACTCACCCCCACTGTCCGTCTGGAGCGCCCGTTTCTGCCATCCTAACACCTCTCCAGCAGAATCACCTCTGACTCCAGGGTCCCAACCCCAACACTCTGCCCTGCAAACCAGTGACCTCTCAATTCTGACCACAGCCTCGCGACAAGACCCGGTGACCACCCCAGCCCTCAGCAGGACTTCCCCAGGCCCCGCACTCCGTGGCCCAGAGGGAAACTGGGCCACCCACACTCACGTCTTGGGGAGCTTCGTTTTCTTCAGATTGTCTTCCGCCTTCTCATCCGCCATGCCCACGTGGCAGCCCAGCGCCAGCAGGGTCCTAGGGCGGGAACAGGGAGGCAACGGCGTGGTCAAAGCCCACTCTGCCTCACTCCTGGCCTGCCGCCTCTGTCTGGGTCTCTAACCGTCCATCCTCTCCTGTCTGCTGCTTTCCCTCTCCTGAGTCTCCCTCTTTCCCCTGTGCCCAGCCCCGCCCTGCCTCTGTCTCTCCTCACCCCGGTCAGTTTCTGCTTCACAGTCCCTGTCTCCCTCTCTTTGTCTCTTTCCCTCACTGTTTCACTGTCTCTTTGCTGTCACCCCTCCCAGCTGTCAGGCCTGGCAACCCCCTGCTCTGTGGCGCCCCCCTCACTTAAGGGTCTCCCCCGACATCTGCAGGTTGTAGTTCCTCTCTGGCTCTGGAAGGTCGTGGAAGTCCACAAGACACGGGTGCAGCCTTTTATTGTCATCCCGAACCTGCAGGAACACCAGGGTCAACTCTCCAGTTTCCACCCGACACTCCCTGACCTCCTGCCCTTAATCTGAGCACCCCCTGCACCCTCTAGTCCATCCCCCCAGCCAGGTGAGCCCCTCCCCTCAAGGCTAGCCCTTCCCCCACCCCCCTCCGGCCACAGGCAGTCCTCACCGGGCCGTAGGTCCAGCCCTGCTCGATGCGGGTCAGCGCCCAGAGCTCATGGATGTTCTCCGCCAGCTTCTCCCGAATACGCTCCAGGTGGGGGGGCAGGACAATCTGGGGACAGGGGAGGTTCGTGAATTTCCCTGAGACCTCTCCGGTCTGCCCCATGACCCCACTGTTCCGAGACCATGGACCAACCCCAGACAGTCCCAGCATGTTCTTTGACCTTTCCAGCTGTTCCACCGGTCTGGCGCCAGGGTGACGCCCAGCTGACAAGGGCCTTAGCACCCTCAGAACTAAGGAAGATCTGGGTCTCCACGAGGACGGCATCTGGGGCCGCCTCAGTTCCCACCATTTGCTCAGTCCTGCCCAGCCCAGAGCATGTCCAGGAGATGCTAGAGGAATGAATGGAGGGTTACTCTCCTCTGTCTAAAGAGCTCTGGGGTGACACTCAGACTCCTCCTGTAAGAACCTGTGAAGCCATCTGCACAAACTACTGTTATGTCATTGACATAAGCACCTGGCAGACACCCTGGGGACCGACACATATTATATTGTTGGGGAGCTACAGGCAAAAGATAATGATGATGAAACCAGGGCAGGCTGAGGAAGGAGGAGGGAGTGTCAGGGAGGCTGCAGGCTGAGTGACAGCTCATGAGGCTGACAGGCTGGGGAGGAGGGAAAGACTTCCACGTGAGGCCCAGGAGCCTGAGGGGGATGGCAAGTTCACCCCTGAAACTATATCACTACTGCTGTCACAGTCACCAAGTGGAGCACAAGTCACTCAGGGCTGTCTATTAATTCATCAAACCTTCACAGCGACGCTACGGAGCAGGTGCTACTGGCACCCCCTTTTCCTCACAGATGAGGAAACTGAGGCACAGAGAAGCAAAGCTGCAGAGTCACGGGATCTGCTCGAAGGGACGGTGGGAAGCCAGGCTGGGATAAGAGGGTGGGAGAGGCCTGAGGGACACAAGATGCCCAGCAGAGGGAGTGGGTAAACCCTCAGGCTTTGGAATCTGGAATCAGCTGCTGTGTGACTTGCCCCAGTTGCTTAACCTCTCTGGGCCTCCCTTTCCCCAACTGTACATCAGGGGCAAAAATAATCATTTCTTTAGATAACTATAGTGAGACTCCCTGAATCTAGGATTTTGCCCTAAAACAGTCCTTTGCTTCCTCTCTGCTTCCATCTCCCCACGTGTGAAACAACACGGTCCCCAGCTTCCAGATGGGCAACCCCTGCATCCCAGACTCCTCAGGGAGTGTGCCTCACCGGGAAACCCTTGCAGGGCAGGAGTACCTGGACTGTGTCCACGGGGAAGGGCACAAAGTCCATGTGTGAGAGGCAGCGGCTGGGGCCCACCAGGTGGGGGCCTCGGGGACCCTCCCGCCGATACTCCTTGATGGGTTCCAGATGGAGTCGCTCTCTTGGGAGCACAGCCTCATGGCACGGGGCGTAGCCGGGAGGAGGGAGGAACTTGAATTCTCCATGGCGGCCACCGAGGAGGAACCGCACCCTGGATGGGAAAAAGCAGGGTTCACTGGTAGGGTCAGTTTACAGGAGACTTGGTGCTCCGAGGGGAGCGATTCTGGGGTGAGGGGAAGCTTCTGGGTGGGCCTGAGGTCACTGGCAGTCATAGGGTCACGGTGGTCATTTGGGAGTCAGAGAGGAAAGTCCACGACCAAAAAATGTGTATGATGCCAATGGAACTTCATGGGGGATCAAAACAGAAGAGTGTGGGGTCACTGGGCGCTCACAGAAGGTCCTTTAGAGGAGACTCTTGAGTCAACAGAGCACTGAGAAGGTTTGGGGAGACCAAGAAAGTCCTCTGGAGGCCACTAAGAGTCTCTGGTGTGACCCTAGGATAGCCAGCCTCACTGCTGACTGCTGACCAAAGCCCTTCACAGAACTTGGGGTCACTGGGGGATTAGTCTGCAGGAGAGTCTGTGCTCTGAAGGGAATAATCCTGTGGTAAGGGGAAGCTTCGGGGTGAGACACCCAGAAAGATCTTTGAGAGAGCTTTGAAATAACCATGGGCGTCAAGGTATCACTGGGGGGACTTGGGGTCATCAGATCATTGCCAGGCCCTGGGGTCATTTGGAGGTCACTGGACTGACTGGCAGTCACTGGCACAGGTTTTGACGAGAGGAGGCAGTGGAAGTAGGAGGTCAGGGACCACAGAGCAGGTTCTAGGTTTCTGGGAGATCTGGGGTTCTTTGAAATGGGGGCACATTTGGAAGATGCTGGAAGGGAGTGGGGCTGGAGAGGAGCTGAGATCACTGGCAGGACACTCAAAGTGTTGGGACCATCTGTCCTGAGAGCAGGCTGCTGGGCCCGGCGCGTCGGGGAGGCCGTCTGCGGGCTAGCAGAGGACAAGGGCAAGTCCTCACCTGATGCCAGCCGAGAAGCTGACGACAGGGAAGAAGAGCCCGTCCAAGTTGAAGGCCTCGAAGACACCCTGCACGGGGCAGCCGTTGATGCGGAAGGAGATGGACGGCACGCTGAGGTCAAGGCAGCAGCTGACCACGTCCTCAGGCGCCAGGAGGTGCTGTCCCGGGGAAGTCACTGGACGGGCCACGTGTCCTGTACCAGGGTCACCGGGACAGGGGTCAGAATCAGAGGTCCCAAGGAACCCATGGTCTCAAGACACAAAAGGCAGGTATTAGAGGATGCTGTGGGGTCCCGGTCATGGAAACCCTAAGATCAAGGGTTCCCATGGGAGGTCCTGTAGCTCGGAAGTTAGGGACAGAGGTCAAGGTTGCCCTGAGGTTAGGATCCTGTGAACTGCTGGAGCAGAAATTAAAGTCCTCCCAGAGCTGAGGACTCTGGAACCTTTGAGACCAGAAATCAGAGACCAGTCGTAATAATCAGGGCAGTTTCCTGGGCTCAAAGGGTCAGAGGTCACATATCCTCTAGGGTCAGAGTATGAGGACATGACTGAGGGCCAGGATCCTGGACACTCTCTGATTAGGGTCTTGGGAAATGAGGAATAAAGGGTCCCAAACCGGTCTGTTTAGGGATCAGGACCCCAAGAGCCCCACAGTGTGTGATGAGACTTGGTAACTCTGGGCCAGTGGCCAAGGGGGGATTGGGATGGGGGGCCGGGCACCTGTCCAGAGATGCAGCCCATCGAAGCCATAGGAGTAGAGGTCGTCGCCCACGCCGTTGCCGCCCCAGCCCTCGCCGCCCCCGGGGTAGGGGCTGTAGCCCTCGGTCAGGGCCCAGCCCACCCGCAGGTGAGTGGCCCGCGCCGTCAGGAACGGGGCCACCTCGTCCACCATCACCTCGAAGTACCACTTGCAGTACTGCGTGGAGCCCTCTGCTCGGCCCACGAAGATGTTGGGGCGGATGCTGCGGGAGAGATGGGACGGAGAGGTGGGTAAAGGTGAGGCGGAGGGGAGAGAGCTGGCGGGAGGCAGGGAGGGAGAAAGACAGGGCTCCAGGTGGAGAAAAACAGAAAGGCGGAGACGTGGACACGGCGTCAGAGGCACAAGATGAGGAGGCAGAGACAGGGATGGACCAAAGACAGAGATGGGAAGAGATGGAGGAGAAAGAAAAAGGGATCGAAAGAGCACAGAAAAAAAAAAAAAGAGGACGGGGTACAGGGCAGGGGAACAGACACATAAACGGAGCAGGGAGCTAGCTGGCAGCCAGGGGCTGTGCAGAGGCCTGGTGAGGACCGGGGGCTGCCCCCTGGGCAGGAGCTGGAGGAAGGGCCACCACCTGCGTGTGGTGTCTGGGGGTCAGAAGGCCGATTGGGTCTGGGGTCAGGGGCCAGGGCCGGACCTGGTGACATAGTTGATGAGGTCAGTCTGCAGCAGGAGCTCGCGGCCCGGCAGCAAGTTCTCGGTGATGAGGTCTTGGTTGGAGCGCACGGCCACGCCATTGCACACACACAGGGAACACAGCACGTCCAGGACCTGGGGGTCAAGGCCAGGGTCAGGGTGCAAGGGTGTATGGGGGGCCCCCGGGCAGGATGCCACATGACACGCAGGATGGAAAATGGAGATGGTGACTGTGAGGGTGGTGAAAGGGAAGGTCAGGTGTGAGAGAAAGGTGCGGAGAGAGCTCGGAAGGTGCTGCAGCTGGGGGCATGTGAGCTGGGCTCAGGCGTGAGCAGGTAAGAGACTGGGGTGGGAGGGGAGAGGCAGAAGGAAGGGTGAGCGGGTCAGGTCGTGAGCGACAGCAGACATGAGGTGAGGTTTTAGATCAGCTGTGGTCACAGGTCACAAACGTGTGTCCTCGGGCCAGGTCAGCTAGGTGAAGGGTGAGAAGCGACTGGGTGGGAACTGGCAAGCCCTGCAGTGCAGGGCAGTGTAGACGCAGCCTGAGTAAAGGCCATGAACCTGAAAATCCTTAAATCCTTTCAGAGACCAAATGAAGCACCTCCATGGCCCCAAACCCATCACCGACTGTGAGTCCAACATCCTTGTGTTGGGGGGAGCAGGTGGGTGAAGGGGTCAGGTGAGAGATGAGATGGGGGCCTCCTTGGTGGTGCAAGGGGTAAGTCTCAGCCCTGTGAAGCTGTCCCCAGCCACTGTGGCACGAGTCCAACCTCCGGCCAGGGAGTGACCCACAGGGCGCAGCAGACCTCTCCTGTCTCCCCGCTGCTCCCCTCAGCAGTGTCTCACTCGATAGGCCTGTTCTGCTCCCCACTCTGTCTCTGGTGAATCCTCTCACCCTCACTACATGCCTGTACCCCAGTTCTTATAAGCATAAATAAATCTTTTAAAAAAAAAAGAGTGAGAGATAAGATGGGGGACAGGAAGCGGGGAGATCTGGGGTCTTGGGGAAAGGTCAGGGTTCAAGATTTAAGGGGTGAGGAGCCAACCTTGTGGTTCCTCCCGTGCTTGTCTAGCAGGGAGATGATGGACTTGATGTGGTTCTCCTGGATGATGTTCAGGACCTCGGGACTCTCGATGAGGACGCAGTACAGCACCTCCAGGATCCCTGTGCAGGCAGCAGCGTGAGCAGGTGGCCACAGCCCTCCCGTCGCCCCTCAGGGGAGTCCCGGGCGCCTCCCGGTTCTCCTACCGGAGGAGGCTTCCAGCCGATCCAGCTTGCTGACCAACCAGTCCAAGTTGGTGGAGAAGAGGGCACAGTTGGTGCGATTGCCCCGGATCAGAGAGGCTGAGGATGGACAGAGGGGTCAGGCCGGGGCCTGCGGACTGAGGGCGCTCTAGAGGAAGCAGGGCCGGGCCCCTTACCCAGGAGTTCGTAGAGCAGGTTGACTATCTCTTTCCAGGACTCAGCTGCCTCTTCTCCTGCAAATTCGGCAAAGTGGGCTGCGGTGGTGTAGACATTTAGGCGGTCAATGCAATTCAAGACCAGGGAGAGCATGCCCTGGGGTATGGAAAGAGTTGAGGTCACCCCAGGAGCTTTTTTTTGTGGATCTGCTCATCCACATTCCTTCAACACCGGCAGGCTCCCCATCTAGAAACGCCACTTCCCATCCACCGCCATTACTCTCCTCTCCCCCTGGGCTCCCCAAATCTGTCCTTGTCCTCTCTGCTTCTGACCCAACATCATGATATGTCCTTATGACCGTCAGAACTGAATTTGTGCTGCTTCTTCCCAGGGTTTTCTTTTTCTTATTTTTAATATCCAAAAGGGTAGGATTAGTATTTAAAAAAAAAAAAAAAAAGAGGCACAGACACAGTGGGCAGGGAGGGAGGCCCCGGAAGGGACAGGTGTGTGAAAAGTCAGGTGTGTAATAACGTGTCACTAAATACAGACAGCAAGTCCTCACCTAGCACCACCAATGGTTTCTTGGAAACTGAGTCTTTAAGCTAACAATAACAACATCTGGGATTGCTTTTCCTCATCCATGTTATCAATGAGACAGAAATGGTGTTGAGTAAATGACCTCCTAAGGGGGACACTTATTCACATGTGGCAGCTGAAACAAGAAGGCAGAGCATGGCCTTCACCCCGGCTGGGAGCCCGGGTGTCTTATGATCCAGTGCATTTCCCTGCTGCTAGGCAACCCAGTGACCGCACATGTGTGACAAGAATTGATGTGGGGGCCCTCCCTGGTGGCAAAAAGGGTTAAAGCGCAGCACTGTGAAGCCAGCCAAAATAGCCTAAGCATGAGTTCGATCCCCAGCCAGGGAGGTGACCCACATAGCATGACAGACCTCTCCCGTCTCCCCACTGACCCCTCAGCAGTGTATTCCTCAATCTGCCTGTTCTGCTCCCCACTCTGTCTCTGGTGAATCCTCTCAGCCCCTGCACTTCTGGCCTGTACCCCAGTTCTGTGTGCATAAGTAAATCAATCTTTTTTTTAAAAAAAAGAATTGATTTGGGGACTGCACATAAATTTTATTGAGTAGGCAAATTAGCAGAAACAAGCCTGCCCATAATGAAGATCTATTGTATAGGATTTCAGAGCTATGAAGACTACCTGCCCGTGTAGTCTTATGAGCGCAGGTGAGACAGCTCACTGCCAACCACACCGCAGTCACCCTGACATGCCCCCGACTGCACCACCCCTCTGCAGGCGGTAGGCGTCAGCCCTGCGGCACAGACTTCTCTTCCTTACGCCTCTCTGCTGCGACCCCCCCGGATGTGTCGGTGAGCACATACACGCCTGAATAGTGTCCGGTTTTGGTCTTAGGATAAAGTGTCGCGTTTGTTTTTGTTTTCTTGTATATGGAATTTTTGCTCATTGTTATGTTTGAGGACTCAAGGACATTTTCACCACCATTCCAGTGGTGCCGAATGTTGGGGCTGTTTCTAGTTGGGGGTGATTATAAATAGTGCTTATGTGCATAAGAAAAAAGGAAGAGAGGAAAGAGGGAGAGAAGGACAGGAAGAAGGAAGGGAGAGAGGAGGACTCCAAGGTGGAGGCTTCTGTGCTAAGCCGACCAAGACATAACATCTGACCTAGCTGCAGTTTCCAGTCCCTTTCACTTACCTTCTCCTCCAGAAATGCAGTCTTAACTGGTATGGAATTTTCTGGTCAGCACCAATAAAGTAATCTTTTCCACTCCCCAAAGGAAAACAATAATCCGCCGCAAGACCTTTTTCCATTGCCTGGAGTAGGTTCCCTAAGCCAGAAATAACTCCCTGTTCTTGCCTTTTGTCTCCCTATAAAAACCTTTCATTTTGCACAGCTTTTTGGAAGGACTTTCTTCTTGGTAGATGGGATGCTGTCCAATCCATTAATCATTTAGTTAAGCCAATTAGATCTTTAAAATGAACTCTGTTGGCTTTTTGTTACTTAACAGATGTCAACTGCCATATGTATAGCCTTTAGAAAAGGGGGGCCCTCCCCGGTGGCCAAAGGAGTTAAGTCTCAGCACTGTGAAGCCATCCACTGCAGCACAATTCAATCCCCGGCCAAGGAGCTGACCCACAGAACGCAGCAGACCTATCCTGTCTCCCCATCGTTCCCCTCAGCAGTGGATTTCAATGGATCCACCTGTTCTGCTCCCCACCGTCTCTGGTAGAATCTTCTCACCCTGCACCTCTGGCCTACATCCTAGCTCTTGTATGCATAAGTAAATAAGTCTTTTTTTTTTTTTTTAAGAAAGCTAGAAAGAGCAGGGGTCCAGATCACTAGTAAGAGAGGCAGTGCCTCCCAGCACAGGGCACAGGTACTTGGCAGTCACAGAGACTAGCGCTGCCATTAGCCAGAGTGACTAGTGGCATCAGAAGACCTAACCCTCCTGAGCTCCCAAAGCCAAAGTCTTCACGTGGCAGGCCCTGATCACTTGGCCACCTCACCGCTTTCCACCCTCCACCAGTCTCCACCAGGTACACCCCCACCTCAGCCTCAGCACCCGTATCCCTCTGTCTCCTCTATATCCTTCCCCCAACTGAAAATACCACATCCTATTTCATTGGTGCACCCTCCCCCAGAGCTCTATTTTGAACTGCAGGAACCCCAACACTCTCTACTGCACCCAGCTTTCCTTGGCATTTACCATGGCTTTACTGATTACCTCACCACCACCACAAGGGCAGGGATTTTTGTCTGTTTAGTTTACAGCTCTACCCCCTGGCCTGTCAGTTGAGTAGTTGTCTGTTTAATCACCCCGAGTTTCAGTGACCCATCTATCCGTGCCATGGGAACTGCAGCTCTGCTGGGTTAGCAGGAGGCCATGCACACAAAGCCCTGAGCAGCAGGAAGGGCTAGAGGCAAGGTAATAGTAACCACTAACGCCCACACCCATTTACTCTGCTGGCAGGCTTGTAAGTGCTTAGCATATCCCAATTCCACTCTGAGTTAAGTTGTGTTCTTTTCTGAATCTGCCTCCCCCATCAGACTCCGAGTCCCTGGAGAGGAGGGGGAGCGAATCTAGAAGCCTCTCCTATTACCGTGGGGTTATCAGATCCCCAAAATTTAATCCGGCCCTCTCCTCGCATCCCACTCAGCCCCTATCGGGTTCAGACACCCCCCTTGCTTCCCTCCATGTTCTCATAACACAGATTCACTGCCCCGGATCCCAAATGAAGTACCTCCCTTCATCGCCATCCCTGACGCCCCTAAAACCAGCCAGGTCCCACATGGGGTCTGTCCTGAGGGGCGCCTCTGGTCCCACAGACCCCCTGAATAGTAGCCCCATCCGACCCATCCCCTTCTCTGGTCTTGTCTCCAGAGCACTTGTCTCAGCCCCCTGAACTTCACCTAGTCCCGGCACCTCCTCTCAGGTGAGGGGACAGAGATGCTTCTACCACAAGGTTCGCGCCCCTCGCCCTCCCACAGGCCCCGCCCCCAGCTCGACACAGGCCCCGCCTCTCCAGAGCCCCGCCCCTTGGGCGTCCCCGCGCCCCTCCCCTTTCCATAGCCCCGCCCCCTCAGACGGCTACTCTGGGAACCGGGACCCTGTGCGCGCAGCCCACAGCCCTGCCCCTCCGTCGCCCCGCCGGGCCCCCACCTCCTCCTGGAAGAGGCTCTGGCGGTTGCGAAGGCTGCGCAGCTTGGTCTGCTTTTCCTCGTGCTGCAGCTCCTCCGAGGGCGGCTCAAAGTAGCCGATGAGGTCCTGCAGGCTCAGGACCACGCCCTCGATAGGCAGCGCGGTGCCAGCTGGCGGACCCGAGCCCCGCGGCTTCCCGCTGAAGCTGTCCAGGCCCCTGCAGGTCCCGCGCACATGTCAGCGAGGAGCCCCGAGGGCTGACTGCCCGTGAGGTGCTCGCCATCCCAGCCCCTGGCCGCTCGGAACTCCCACAAACACATCGGTTTATTGGAGGGGACGCAGAGAGAGGAGTGTGACCGGAGGTCACAGCGTGGTCAAGCATACAGCGGGACTGGGGCTGGCGCCTGTGTGTGCAGGAGGGGCCGCCACGTGGCGACTGGGGAGGCCCAGGGCAAGGTTGTGGATGTCAGAGGTATGAAAGTTGGGTGGCCGTGGATGTGGGGTCAAAGTCACGGCTGTAAGGTCAGATTAGGGCCAAGTGTATAGAGGTCAGGAGTTGGGCGATTAGGGGTGACCTCAGAGAGGGGTATGGATGTTAGAGGTAGAGATTAAAGGGCTGAGGTTCGTGAACGCCAGGCGCCTGAGGCCAAGGGGTGGCCTGGCGCCCAGGACAGAGTAGCAAGGTGACTCACTTGATGAACTGGTTATACAGCCCAGCTGTGCTGTAGATCATGCGGGCGGCCTGGGACTCCTCCTGCTGGCAGCGGGTCAGGGACAGTGCGTCATCCATGTGGCCTTCCTGGTGCAGCATGGCCTGGCAGTGGGGGGAGAGACGTCAGGAAGATCCCAGTGGCCCAGGCCCAGGCCCCCCAGACTCTTCCGCCAAAGCTACCATCAGCCCCTTCTTCCTTCTTCGTTTCCTGTGTTTCATTCTGTCTCTTTCCCCCTGCCCCATCTGTTTCTCCATGCCCTGTCCCTTCTTTCTGTCTGTCCATCTCTGTTTGTCTCTCTCCCAAACCTCACATCTTACTCGCCTCCTGTTCCATCTAGCTCTGCCTGTCTCTCTCTGACTCGGTCTCACTTTGATTCTGTCTCTCCCTAGCTTGCCTGTCTCCAGGCCAGACGCTCTCCACTTGCGTATAGTGGTAAGTTCACATCCCCTCACATTTCCAAAGGCACCCAGACTTAACGACCCCTACAGACAGACCCCTGGCCCCTTGCGTGGCGAGGCATCATGGCTGCCAGCTTTCCCCTGAGCTGCCCCCTGCTGCCCCCTGCTGGCGACGCCTCCCTGCTGCCCTCTCTGGACAGACCCACCTCTGCATCCGTCATGTGTCCAACCACAGGCCTCATTTCTTACAAACAGTACCTCCCTCCCTTCCTATCCTTCTCAGCAAATCTTTACAGACCGACTCTAGTCTAGGCCTGTGGGCTAAAACCTCAGGTCCCTGTACCCCTGAGCGGATGCGGGACTGTTCCCAACTCACTTCCATCCTTCCAGTTGCTCAGGGCATCTTCACCCCCCCTTTCACCTTCACTGCCAGCCTGTCAGGATCCCTACCCCACAGACCCCACCCTGGTCCTGCTGCTGTCATTGTCTGCCTGCATCCTGGCAGCTACTCCTACTCAAATTCTGCCCCCCCAGTGTCCCCAAAAGCAGCTCTGGAACCCCGTGAACCTGATCCACATCACCTTTCTGGCCTTGCTCAAAACTCTTGTGGCTCCATGTCACGCAGAGGAAAGGCCAGGCCCCGCCCCCATGGCCGCCAAGGCCCCACCCCCCTGCTCCTACCCCACTGTCCGCACCTCCCAACCTTCACCTCCCACTCACCCGACTCCAGCCAAACCGGGTCTTGCCTCTGTTACTGCGACTAACCCACCCGTTTCAGGCGCTGAGCCTTTTCCTAAGAAGCCTGTCCTTTTATAAAAACAACAGCCCACCCCATTTCATCCACAGGGCCTTTGCTTGTGTCAACTGTTTCCTGTCAAAAGCAATCTCCTCACTCTCCACCTGTAAAACTGCATACTTTGGTAAAGGTGGTCATCACCACTTCTGAGCACTGTGAGGGCGGGGAGCGGGGGGCGGGGGGCGCCCACCTATTTTCCCACACACACGCAGGGACTTGGGTATTTCAATTTGTTGTCTGTTGTTCTCAATTTTTTAGTTTGTTTCACTATCTTTTTCTCTCTGTGTCTGTCATTGTCTTTAGATAGACAGACAGACAGATGGTAGAAGCCCCTCCTTCTTTCTCCCCCTCTCTCTCAGTCCCATCCTCAAACTCCTGAAGACTCGAGCATGGAGCACAGCCACCCGGTGCCCTGAGCTTTCCTGCCCCGGCCTGAGCTTTCCCCGGCCCTGCCAGGCACCACCTTCTTCTTGAGCACGCCGAGCCTCAGGGCCTTGGGGTCCGGGGCTGCATAGGTGAGCCACAGGCCTGAGGCCACGTGCTGCACAAAGCACAGTGACTCCCCGTACTTGATCTCGGGGGGGCCCATGCCTTCCACATCCCGCTTGGGAGCCACATCCAGCTTCTCCTGCAGGGGCAGAGGGTAGAGGTCAGCCTCCTTGGCCTGGGCCTTTAATGGGCAGCCTCGCTGGGCACGCTGACCCCACCGACCTTGGAGATACGGAAGCAGAAGGAGGTGGCCTTGGTGTGGGCCTTGCTGGCATCGACCACCACCAGGCCCTGGTCCTCGGTGAGCGCCAGGTACCGTCCCGTGGTGACGTGCCGGATGCGAAGCGGCTGCCCCCAGCGCAGATGGCTCCCGCTCCAGCTATGGAGGGTGAGGGTGGAGGATGAGGGTGAAGGGCTCAGAGGACACCCCAGCCCTGTGGATGCCTCCATCTTGGCCCAAACCTCTCCAAATCCCCAATTTTCCCCTGGGTGCCCCCAAAACTCTCCGGGCCCCCAAATCTTTCGTGGGCCCACCAGTAGTCCTCCAGGCCCCCAAATCTACTCTCAGGCCCTCACAACTTCCTTAGGACTCCCACCTGGCTCCAGTGCCCCCAGTTTCCCCAAACCTGTCATTTTCTTCCCTTACAATCCCCACATTTTCACTCTGGTTCCCCTGATCTCTACCTCAGGCACCCCTCTCTTTAAGGGGAGCATCCTTTTCCCCCAGACCCATAGCATGCCTGAGGTCCTTCATAACACTCTTGGGTTCCCCAGATTTTCCCTCAAAACTCTCCTGTCTCTTCCTCTGTTCTTACCCTTTCTCCCCTCCCAGGTCCCCAGAACCCCCAGCCCCTCTCCCACCCAGGCCCACTCGCCCACACCTGATTCGCAGTGGCTCCAGTCTCCAGAGGGAGCGGGCATGGGTGCATACAGCTCCCCCCTCATAGAAGACAAGTCTGGGGACAGGCAAGAGGGTGAGTCAGGGGTTCAGGCTCCAGCTCAGCAAAATGTGGCCCTCTGTCCCCCCCTGGGGTTCTGGCCACTCAGCTGACCGTTGGCCCCCTCCCCCACCCCTGCCCACGGCACTCTTGACCCCAGCCCAGACCTGCGCTGGTCCTCACTGTCGGCGGGGGAAATGGTCAGACACTCGTCCATGTGTCCATGGAAGAGGCGCAGCACGTGGCCCCCAGTGACGTAGCCTGTGGAGGAGCAGAGGAAGCGGGTCACTGTGTGGCTGGAACCCCAGAGAAAGCTGGGAGCCAACGTGGAGTCGGAGCCCTGCTTCTCCCCGTGGC